TGAGGGCAGGTGGTTTTCAAAACGTGGCTCTCGCCTTAGCGCCGCGCACACTAGATTTTTTCAACAAAAAATGCAAGAGCTTCAAGGACTTAGGGCGGCTCTTGTTCAAAATGTGGCTCTCGCCTCAGCGCCGCGTCGTTTTCAAACATTGGAAGAGTTTCACTGCTTCCCATGATCAGCGTACCAGAACTTGTATGTAGGAAAGATTCCGGATTACGCGGGTGCAACACTTGTGCTGATTCGCTGTGCTGGAATCCTACAAATGGCGTTCTGTCAAGATGCCGGATCGTCAAGACACAGCAGCCAGGTTAATCTGTGGCGCTGAAATCCCGAACACAGTGTCTTGGCATGTTTCAGGGTCTTCGAAAAGTTGTCTTCCAACGAGGCAGTTCCCTCAATGAAAATGAATCGGTGTATGGGGCCTATGAAGAGGAAGCTAGGAGGGAGGGTCAATTCCAACATCGTTGATGACTCTTGGGTTTACACTGGTCCTCCTCCTCTTCCTCCTCCTCCTCCTCCCATCGATCACCCCCCCCTCCTCCACTGAGTCTTGCTCCTCCTGGCTCCTATTCCTCCTCCTCCTCCTCCTCCTCCTCCTCCTCCTCCTCCTCCTCCTCCTCCCATCGATCACCCCCCCCTCCTCCACTGAGTCTTGCTCCTCCTGGCTCCTATTCCTCCTCCTCCTCCTCCTCCTCCTCCTCCTCCTCCCTCGATCACCCACCCCTCCTCCACATATCATTCCTCCTCCTGACTCCTCCTCCTCCTCCTCCTCGTCCTCCTCCTATTCCTCCTCCTCCTCCTCCTCCTCCTCCTCCTCCTCCTCCTCCCTCCTCCTCCTCCTCCCCCTCGCCCTCCTCCTCCTCCTCCTCCACCGATTCTTCCTCCTGATTCTTCATTGTTCTCCTGACTCTTCCTCCTCCTAATCCTCCTCCTCTTCTTCCTCTTCCTCCTCCACCTCATCCACATATTCCTCCTCCTCCTCCTCCTCCTCCTCCTCCTCCTCCTCTCCTCCTCCTCCCTCCTCCTCCTCCTCCTCCGCCTCATCCTCCTCCTCCGCCTCCTCCTCCTCCTTCTCCTCCTCCCCCTTCTCCATCGATGCCCCCCCCACCTCCTCCACCGACTCTTCCTCCTCCTGACTCCTCCCTCCTCCTCCTCCTCCTCTTCCTCTTCCTTCGCCTCCTATTCCTCCTCATAGTTATCCTCCTCATCATCATCCTCGTGCTCCTCCTCCTCGTCCTCCTCCTCCTCCTCATTCTCCTCCTCCCCTCCTCCTCCTCCTCGTATTCCTCCTCCTCCTCCTCCTCCTCCTCCTCCTCCTCCTCCTCCTCCTCCCTCGATCAGATCATCCCCCCCCCCCCTCCTCCACCGACTATTATTCCTCCTCCTCTTCCTCCTCCTCCTCCTTCCTCCTCCTCGATCACCCCCATCCTCCAACGATGTTCCATCCTCCTGACTCCTCCTCCTCCTCCTCCTCCTCCTCCTCCTCCTTCTCCTCCTCCTCCTGACTCAATATCCGCTACTTTTCATGTTGTGTTACTTCTCCTGTCGCATCCCGAGGCAAGTTGTTAGGGCGGGTCGGTCGTTTCGCCTGAGACCCCCTCAACATGTATGGCTCTGAAGCTTCAAGTCTGTCAGCAATGTCACAGCTGGAAGGCGGTTTGTTTTCAACAGGTGGCTCTCGCCTTCGCGCCGCGCGCATTCGTTTTTTTGTTTAAAAAACGTTGCAATAATTTCACGGTGTGAGGGCGGCTGGTTTTCAACATGTGGTTCTCGCCTTAGCGCCGCGCACACTCGTTTTAAACCATTGCAAGAGTTTCACGGATTTAGGGCAATTCCTTTTCAACATGTGGCTCTCGCCTGGGCGCCGTGCACATTCGTGTTTTCGCTGCTGCTTCCCATGGTCAACGTACGAGACATGGTGTTTTGGAGGGTTTCTGGATTATGAGGGCGCAACAGGTATGTTGATTCGCAGTGTTGGAGTCCCAGGAACGGTGTCCTGGCACGATTCCGGATGGTCAAGACGCAACAGTCAGGTTGATCACGAAGCTTGGAAGGAGAGTGCATCCCAACATCGTTGACGGCTCTTGGTTTTACAATGGTACTCCTCCTCCTCCTCCACCTCCTCCTCCTCCTCGTCCTCCTCCTCCTCCTCCTCCTCCTCCTCCTCCTCCTCCTCCTCCTCCCCCTCCCCCTCCCTCGATCACCCATCCTCCTCCACATATTATTCCTCCTCCTGACTCCTCCTCCTCCTCCTCCTCCTCCTCCTCCCGTTCCTCCTCCTCCTCCTCCTTCTGTTCCTCCTGTTCCTCCTGTTCCTCCTGTTCCTCCCCCCTCCTCGTCCTCCTCCTCCTCCTCTTCTGCCTCCTCCTCCTCCTCATCCTCCTTCTCCTCCTCCTCCTCCCTCGGTCATCCCCCTCCTCCTCCACCGTTTCTTCCTCCTCCTGACTCCTCCTCTTCCTACTCCTGACTCCTCCTCCTCCTCCCTCCTCCTCCTCCTCCTCCTCCTCCTCCTTCTCCTTCACCACCCCCTCCTCCACCTCTTCCTCCTAGTCCTCCTCTGATTCCTCCTCCTCCCCCTCCTTCGATCCCCCCCCTCCTCCACTGTTCCTTCCTCCTCCTCCTCCTCCTCCTCTTCTCTCCTCCTCCTCCTCCTCCTTCTCCTCTTCCTCCCGTTTCTCCTCCTCCTCCTCCTCCTGTTCCTCGTGTTCCTCCTTTTCCTCCTCCTCCTCCTCCTCCTCCTCCTGACTCCTCCATTCCTTCTTTCCATAGATAACTCCTCCCTGTCGCACCCCGAAGCCAATTTTTAGGGCGGGCCGGGCGTTTCTCATGATATTTCCTCACCGCGTATGACTCTGATGCTTAAAAAGCGACAACCGTTTCGCCGATGGAGGGCGTGTCGTTTTCAAAATGAAGCTCTCGCCTTAGCGCCGCGCACACTCGCTTTGAACATTTACAAGAGCTTCACGTATTGAGAGCGGGTCGTCTTCAAAATGTGGCTCTCGCCTTAGCGCCGCGCACATTCGTTTTACACGTTTGCAAGAGCTTCACGGATTCAGGGCAGATGGTTTTCAAAATGTGGCTCTCGCCTTAGCGCCGCACACATTCGTTTAACAAGCTTTGCAAGAGCTTCACGGATTGAGGGCGGGTCGTTTTCAAAATGTGGCTCTCGCCTTAGCGCCGCGCGCATTCGTTTTACATATTTGCAAGAAGTTCACGGATTGAGGGTGGGTGGTTTTCAAAATGTGGCTCTCGCCTGAGCGCCGCGCACACTCGTTTTAAAAGCTTTGCAAGAGTTTCACGGATTACCATGATCAGCGTACCAAAAATGGCGTTCTGGAAGGGTTCAATATTATGCGAGCGCAACAGTTCTGTTGATTCGCGGTGTTGAATTCAAAAGAACAACGCTCCGGAACGATTCCGGATCGTCAAGACGCTGCAGTAAGGTTGATACGTGGCGTTGAAATCCCGAGAACAATGCTTTGGTATGCGTCAGGATCTTCAAACAATTGTCTTCCAAAGAAACAACTCCCTCATGAAAATGAACCGTTGTGGGGGCCTATGAAAAGGGAGCTTGGTGGGAGGGTTAATTTCAACATCGTTGGTGACTCTTGGTTTCGCACTGGTCCTCCTCCTCCTCCTCCTCCTCCTGACTCCTCCATCACCTCCTCCTCTTCTTCCTCCTCATCCTCCTCCTCCTCTTCCTCCTCTTCTTCCTCCTCTTCTTCCTCCTCTTCTTCCTCCTCCTCGTCCTGCCTCGATCCCCCCCCCCCCTCCACATCATTCCTCCTCCTCCTTCCTACTCCTCCTCCTCAACCTCCTCCTCCTCCTCTCCTTCCCCCCTCCTTCTCGTCGTCGTCCTCCTGTTCCTCCTCTTCCTCCTCCTCCTCCTCCTCCTCCTCCTCCATTCCTTTTCTTATACATAACTGTTCCCTGTCGCACCCCGAGGCATTTTTGGGGGGCGGGCTGGGCGTTTCGCCCGAGACTCCCTCATCACTTATGACCTTGAGGCTTAAACCTTGGCAACAGTTTCGCACGTGTAGGGCGGGTCGTTTTCAAAATGTGGCTCTCGCCTCAGCGCCGCGTACATTCGCTGTACAAACTTTGCAAGGGCTTCACGGATTGCCATGATCAACGTACCAGACATGGCGTTCTGGAAGGATTCAGTATTATGCGGGCGCAACAGTTATGTTGATTCGCGGTGTTGAAAACAAAAAAATGGCGCTCTGGCACGATTCTGGATCATCAAGACGCAGCAGTAAGGTTGATACGTGGCGTTGAAATCCCGAGAACAATGTTTTGGTATGCTTCAAGATCTTCAAGCGGCTGTCTTCCAAAGAGGCAATGGAAATGAACCGCTGTGGTGGCTGGAGCTTGGAGGGAGAGTCAATTTCAACATCGTTGGTGACTCTTGGTTTCACACTGGTCCTCCTCCTCCTCCTCCTCCTCCTCCTCCTGATTCCTCCATCACCTCCTCCTCCTCCTCCTCTTCCTCCTCCTCCTCCTCATCCTCGTCCTCCTCATCCTCCTCCTCCTCCTGACTCCTCCTGACTCCTCCTGACTCCTCCTCCTCCTCCTCCTCCTCCTCCCTCCTCTCTCCTCCCTCCTCCTCCTCCTCCTCCTCCTCCTCCTCCTCTCCTCTTCGATCACCCCCCCTCTCCAAATATTATTCCTCCTCCTTCCTCCTCCTCCTCCTCCTCCACCTCCTCCTCTTCCTCCTCCTTCTCCTCCTCCCCTTCCTCTCTCGATCACCCCCTCCTCCGCCGATTTTTTCTCCTCATGACTCTTCCTCATCCTCCTCCTCCTCTTCCTCCTCCTCCTCGTCCTCATCTTCCTCCCCCTCCTCCTCGTTGTCCTCCTCCTCCTGCTTCTCTTCCTCTCCTCCTCCTCCTCCTCCTCCTCCTCCTCCTCCTCCTCCTCCTCCTCCTCCTCCGTTCCTTTCCTTAAACTGTTCCGTGTCGCACCCTGAGACATTTTTGGTGTCCCCCCCCCATCAGGAAAGCCTCCTCGCTGCAGGCCCGGGCTGCGCAGACCTCCTCGCAGGTGACCTGGCGCCACCGCGCGCGCGAAGCTGCGGCCTGCAGAACAAGGTCCTGGAAGCCGCGACCTAAATCATCGCTCTTGGGCGTTCGAGGTTCGAGGATCGAGGCTTGTGGATGGTTCGGGGCCCCTTTTAAGCCACTTGGGGCGTACTCGTCGCCACGTCTGAAATTGGCTCGAGCTCCTGTTCTGACTGCGCTCGAGGAGAGATCTCGGGACCATTTGTGTGTTTGCGTGTGGGGTGGGGTGGTGGGGGGGGGCAGACTTCCAATGCTATGTCTTTGTTTGATCCTGGCGGGTTCCGCTCGATCTCGGCCCGTGGAATCTTTGCTGGGCCCCGAAGCACCACAGTACTCCTCCGAAAAGACGGGAAGGTCCCAGGGACGCGGTCCGAGGAGGAGGAAGAGGAGGAGGAGGAGGAGGAGGAGGAGGAGGAGGAGGAGGAGGCCCGCGGGCAGGGCCGGACGAGAAGCAAAACGTCCGAGGTCTGGGCGGGGTTCCCGCATCCGTTGCTTCCGCCTCTCGGTCGCTCCCTTCCGCCAGCCATTGCGCGCCCGAGCGCCCCCCCCCCCCTTCCCCCCACCTCCTCCTCCTCCCTCCTCCTCCCTCCTCCTCCTCCGCCTCCTCCCCCTCCTCCTCCTCCTCCTCCTCCTCCGCCTCCTCCCCTCCTCCTCCTCCTCCTCCTCCTCCTCCTCCTCCTCCTCCTCCTCCTCCTCCTCCTCCTCCTCCTCCTCCTCCTCCTCCTCCTCCTCCTCCTCCTCCTCCTCCTCCTCCTCCTCCTCCTCCTCCTCCTCCTCCCTCCTCCTCCTCCCTCCTCCTCCTCCTCCTCCTCCTCCTCCTCCTCCTCCTCCTCCTCCTCCTCCTCTCCACAAAACCTCCTCCTCCTCCTCCTCCTCCTCCTCCTCCTCCTCCTCCACGTGGCGCGCACGGGTGTCTCGCGGGCCAGCTCCGACGTGGCCGTGCTCGCGAGGGCCGAAGCGTGGCGCCCCGCGTCATCCGCCGCAGTGGTGAGATCTGGCGCGCGCGCAGCCGCCAGGAGACAATACACCCTCCATGCTCTCCTCCTCTCTCCCTCCTCCCTCCTCTCACCCTCCACTCTCTCCTCTCTCCTCCTCCCTCCTCTCTCCTCACTCTCCTCCACTCTCCCCTCCTCCCACCTTTTTTTCAGCTCTTGGCGGGCAGCGGCGCCAGTCGCAGCGCTGCTGCCAGAGCGCAGGCAAGCATGACGAAGCAGGAACAAAACGTCGTCTGCCACAATGCTGGGACTGGCGCGAGCTAGAGACCAAGCGAGCAGGGGCCAGCCAAGATCAGCTGCGTCATCACCTACAGTGCTGGGAGCGGCTCATGCGCGAAATCAAACGAGCAGGAATTAGTCCAAATCAGCTGTCATCGGCGACAATGCTGGGAGCGGCTCGTGCGAGAAAGCGGGAAGTGGCAGCACGGCCTGTCAGTGCGAGAACGCGGGAAGGCAGGCAGTGGCAACAGCGGTTGTCGCTGCCCAACGGCCAAGCGGGAGCAATATATTCAGTTCGTGCAAGGAGGCAGGGAGCGGCCGCAGGGTTTGTTGGCGTGAGAAGCCAGCAGTGGAGGCTACGGCGTGCAATACAACTTCAACAAGGGAAGTCAGCACCGACTTGGGTGTTTGTTTTCCTGGCCAGTTCGGGCACGTTCGTGGTGGAAAGGGCAGTCGCTGCCAGCGGCGGGTCACGGGTGAACCCAACGTCTTCAGCTACAGCGCTTGGCGCACAGAGTGCAATGGGAAGGCAGACAGTGGCAGCAATGACTGGCAGTGTCAATGCGAGGAGGAAGGCAATGGCAGCGTTGTCTGCGCAGGCAATGGCAGCGAATCTTGCCAATGCGAGAAGGCAGGCGGACAGGGGTCAGATCGTGCGAGGATGCAGGCAGTGGCAGACGCTTCGGGCAGTGCGAGCAAGACTGGGGTCAGCTTCTGCGAACAACTGACAGTGACAGCTGATGTTGTCAGTGCGAGTAAACAGGACACTGCGAAACGCAATGCGTGAGCCAATCATCAGCTGCAACGCGGGGATCAACTCGGGATCAACTCATGCAGGAGGAGGCGGAAAACGCAGGGCATCTGCTACAACGCTGCGAACAACACGAGCGAGCCTCAGGCGAGACGACAAGCAGTGGCAGCTTGGACTGTCGGTGCGAAAAAGGCAGTGGAAGCTTAGGTTGTCGGCGCGAGAACGCGGGCAGAAGAGGCAACATCTGTCGGTGCGAGAATGCAGGCAGGGGCAGCCCGAGCACCACCAGCTACAATGCTGGGAGCAGTTCTTGCGAGCATGCTGGCAATGGCATCGCGGGCTGTCGGTGTGAAAATGGGATCAGCGACAGCAGGGTCTAGCACTGCGAGAAGGAGGCAAGTGCAGGAACGTACGTCATCAATGGCAACACTGCGTTCCACTCGTGTGCAAAATTGCACGCTTCCCGCGGAAGGCAGCAGGTGCTGGCGTGCGCCCGTGCGCTCAGCAGGCCGTCGCAGAGGGCTATGCTGCCGCAGGATGTGGCTCGAAAAATGGGCCAACCATCTGGGGGTGCCCATCCCGCTCTCGCCGATCCTCGTCACCACGGCTAGGCCATCGTCGCCGTGCGCGATCAACGACATGGGGGAAAGATAGCTGGACTGCACGTCAGTTCGGAGATTGAACCTGGTCGCCCAAGACAGGCCTCGGGGTAGGGGCTGTCTTTTTATCACCGCTGTTTTTCTTGCTTCGAGTATCTGGAGGTTTGACCTGTAGAATCCTGCAGATCCTCCTCCTCCTGCTCCTCCGCCCTTTCATTACCCTCACACTCCTCCTCCTCCTCCTCCTCCTCCTCCTCCTCCTCCTCCTCCTCCTCCTCATTCTTCACCCCTCCCGCCCCAAATGCTGGCGGCCGCACAACATCAGGGAGCGCCGGCGGCCCCACGTCGGGTTCTCGCAGTGGGGCGGACTGACCTCCAGCGGAGGACGCGTGGCAGCCCTGCGCGCTGCTCGTTGGCGCGCGCCGGTCACAGCTCAGGGAAGGAACAAAGCACAGAACAGGAACACAAACCTGGCGGCAAGCTCGTGTCGTGGAGACTTCTGGGCCGCTTTCTGACAAGCTCGTGTCGTGGAGACTTCTGGGCTGCCTTCTGACACCGCATGGATCGCGCAAGTTTGGACGATCACGGCATTCCGACCGTGCAGATCGTTCGATACAAGCCGAATTCGCGCCACTGGCGGCGTTCGACCCTGAACGCCCGCGCTGGGGTCACGGGCGAGTCAACGCGGCGCGAACCCACCGCGATGGATTTCTTCCTCTGGCCTGGGGATGCCCTGCGCGTCTCGCGCCTCTTCTATTTTGTTGTTTGTTTCTCTCTCTCTCTCTCTTTCTCGTTCCCTCTCTCTCTCTCTCTTCTTGAAGGGGCCCCAGGACACACAAATAAATACACACACATAAAATTATTCTCCATATTTCCTTTTTGTTTGAATTTTCGTTTTCTCCCCAACTTTCCATATTTCCTTATATTTTCCTGGGAGTGGACGATTAACTGTGTCTGTGTGTGTGTGTTTTCCCCTCCTGATCTTTGGACTCCCATCCCCGCCCCCCTGGCGGCGCACCCCGGCGGCGCCTCTGGCGTCGCCCCCAGCGCGCTCCGCGAAGCAAAACAATGGGTGTGGCGAGGGTTTATTTCCAACCGCCGCCTCAAGAAATCCGCGCGACCTCCAGAAAGCTCATGCATGTTTCGCTCCTGGGGGAGTAAGCATCTGACCAGAATCTCGAGGAGAACCAAGCAATGGCGACGAGAGCTCTCCAGTACGAGCAGCCGTATCAATACATTTTCCTTCTCGGAGCTTCTAATCTTCGGCATGGCGCTCGGCGGCGTCCCCGCCAGCGGCCGCACCGACCCTACGTGACCGACTCCCGAAACGCTGAACCCAAAAATGCTGTCATCACTTGGGGCCGCGCACTCTTACCTTCCGCCCGCTTCCGCCAGCGAGACCGCCCTCGTTTTGCTTCCGCCGCCTCCCGCCGGCCTCCTGCCGCGTCCCGCCCGGGAGGAGATGCCAGCTCCTCCGGCCATGGGAGGCGAGGCCCTGTCTGGAGCGCCCCGTGTGTGCAGGTCACCAGCGGACGAGGAGGAGGAGGAGGAGGAGGAGGAGGAGGAGGAGGAGGAGGAGGAGGAGAGGGAAGGAAGAGGGAGGGAAGAGGAGGAGGAGGAGGAGGAGGAGGGAGAGAGGAGGAGGAGGAGGAGGAGGAGGGAGGAGGAGGGAAGGAAGAGGGAGGAGGAGGAGGAGGAGGAGCGAGCGAGCGAGCGAGCAGAAGCCGAGGGGCTTTGGGATCCAGAGACAAAGGGAAACGCTCAAGCACCACACCTCCCCGCCCCAGCAGTTGCACGGTGGAGCCGCCAGGGCCAGGACCACCTTGCAACCGCCAGGGGGGAGGGGAAACGCTCAAGCACCACACCTCCCCGCCCCAGCAGTTGCACGGTGGAGCCGCCAGGGCCAGGACCACCTTGCAACCGCCAGGGGGGGGAGAGAAGTGACTGAACGCCTCCGAGCGGCCGCCCTCGGCGGCGCAGGCACGGGAGCACGGGGCCTGCGGCTGGCCTGTGCCCACCAGCACGAAGCCCGCCGTGGCAAGGTGCCCGAGGTTCGGCACGGTGCCGAGCTCCCGAACGAACGGCATCCAGGTCAGGAGGCCGCTCAGCCCGTCGTTGACAAAGCCGACGGGGCAAATGAAATAGAGAAAGCGCAGGCAGGCCAGGACCAAACACCGCCGCGGACTGCCGAAAGTACACTGAAAAGAAAAGGAAGCGGCCAGACCGACCCAACTCCCACCCAAGGTGCAAGCCACGAGGACCAGAACATTAAGGGCTGGCCGCCGAAGGTGGGAGCAGAATGTCCCTGCCAAGGGTGCATGGCACAAGGGCCAAGAACATCGAGGCCTGGCCGCCGATGGCAGGCAAGCGTCGGCCCGACCACTAAACCATGTCAAAATCCACTTCATCATCGCTGTCTGACTC